CAAATCGGACAATCCGAAGCATGTTAAATAAAGTCCTGAAATTCATATAAAAATAATGGATTTCTTTTTCCCCAAACTAATACCTTCCAACTCAATGACTCATCAGATTGTTTCTTAAAAGTCTCACCCTCCTGGTCCCTGGTGGAATGCCGCGTGTAATTGAGTTGTTGCCAAACTTAGACTTGCTGTGAGTAAATGTAAAAGATTTCCTTCCAGAACAAATTTTAGAGTTCTAGCCGATGTTAGAAAGGAATATACATATATTCTCAGACAGGAAAAACGTAACGTTTGGAAAAATTTTGTGAATTTGTCAATAGCGAGATGTCAGTTTCAAACCTTTGGCATATTGTGAGAATTTTCGAAGAATTTACTTCCTCTCATTGCTCTATACTCGTACAATTCTTCAATGATTTTGTGACAAACTCGCTGGGCCTTCTGATCCAGTAATGCGCTTGTATTACATCATTTCTCTCTGTAAACCCAATAAACACACGCCTCCAGGATTACATGGCATTCGTAACAATCATCTCAACGCGTTGAGCATTGAAAATAGGCTAATTCTACTCCAGAAATTTAACAACATTCTAATCACCGGTTGCGTGCGCTCGTTTTAGTACGACTTCCAAGTTATGACTTTAAGGAAAAAGAACAATCTAGCCTTTAATATTAACTCCTACAGGCGTATTGCTTTAGTTTCTACCCTTAGGAAAATATTGGAGAAAATATTATATTCACGCCCAAACTGGTATCTCGAATCTGAATGCATTCTCAGTACTTTCCATGGTTTCGCGCGTTCCAAAACAACATTGTTACTTTATCGTCTGCAGTTAACTTAAGCTTTGCTAAGGATCACACTCTCATTGCCTGCTTTCTGTACATAAACTCAGCTTTTGATTCTGTTAACGATAACATTATTTTAATCTCTGTGAATCTCCCTATCAGATTCTGTAGTTTATTATATAATCTTTCTTTATAAGAACATTTTAATTAACAACAATAAGGTCGTCTTACTTATGATCGTTCACAGGTGTTGGTCGAGGTTCATTATTCAGTTGTCTTTGTTTTCTATATTAACAAAATTTCTAGATTCCTTTCTGAGAATATTTCAGTTTTGGACTATATTGATGACCTTGTCATTTTCATTTCCAACTGTGCTCTAGAGTTACGCAAACATTCTTTACAATCCGCCCTTCGTATTATCTCCTGTCGTCTTGAGTCTCTCCAACTCATACTTTCTAATAATAAGACTAAGTGCATGGTCCTTTTCAAGAAAAGGAGAGACCCTATTGTCACTCCACTTCTCTTATACGGTTCTACTATACCGTTTGTCAAAACTTTTTTAGGCGTTGTTGTACACTCGAAACTTTCTTTTGCTGCTCACGTCGGCAGAGTTTCCAATCAATGTTTCTAACTAAGGTCCTGAAACCCATTTGTGGTATTTCATGTGGTTCTGACTCTTCTTGTGTAATTAACCTATATCCATATATAGTAAGGTTAAAATAGAATAAATTTGCTCACTCTTATTGGACATTTCAACATTTCAAGCATATTCTGAAATTATTCAAAATTCAATGGAAATGTCTTCGTTTGGCTGTTTGTGGCATGAAATCGACTCACACTCTAAGCTTAGAACAGATGACAAACATTATGTCTCTGCCCGACAGATTTCATTTACTCGCCAGTTTTACATCTAATAAAATTTTATCCGATGGGAGTCATTCGGACTTACCTTTCATTTATGACCCTCTATCATCTTCCTCTTTCCTTTTTTTGAATTTTCACTTAACTTATCTACATAATTTATTCAAGATTTCTTTTGCTTTACATTATTTTCAGCCAGTTATCAAGTTTTTCCACGCGAGAGAATTTGCAGTTATCCCTTGCAGAAGTGTTACGTTGTTACTCGAACTTAGTTAGCATCAAATGGAAACTTTTTTCACTGATGGATCAAAGTCTGACGTAGTGTGATTATATTTTATTTGCCCGCCCGAATGTTGTCGCTTCTATTCGCCATTTCACATTTCCCAAATTTTCTGCGTGTGGTCTTCATGATCGCAGCGTTGTAGGCATTTTACGTTCTCCAAATTTAGCGGCCTATACCGCTATTTTCTCTTTTTTTAAACCTTGTCATCAAGACATATAAATATTTACAGCCAAATTATGAATCTACTCTTTCATAAGACATACCCATACACCCGTACTTCGTCACTTCTCACACTACAAAGTTCACTCTACGCTATATCATCTTGCAATCTTTTGAAGGGGAAGATATTCCAATAATATTTACTTCAAAAGTCGAGATGTAAAATAAAACAAGATGATTAATTTGAAACCCGGGAAAATTAATATTGATTTCAGTTACGCGGCGGACGTTATAACATGCATAACATTTATGTATACTGCTGTACACCCAAGTAATTTGTCAACTTTATTAAAGTTCAAACAAAGAACAGATTAAACATTAAAGGTCACATTAAAGGTCACATTAAACCTTTTTTACACAATTTCGAATTCTCAGTTGTTGATTTGCTGATTTGCAGAAGAGTTGACAACGGCAAAAAAAACTGACTGTATGCATATATATGGGAGGGTCTGTAAAGACTCTTCATATCACATAACCAATAAATGAAATCTGAGCTAAATGCAAGGCAGTGTAGTAAATAGATTGTTGCACCTCCAACAAGAGTTATGGGTAAAAAAGCAGAGCAGAAATGTCGAAATCTTCTCGGAAGGCTTTACTTAAAAATTGTTGAAATGTAAACGTTTACAAAAAAATACACAACAGTTTACAGTTGTATCAAGCAGATACTCAGTCATGCTTCAATTTGTCATCTAACGGGTTTTTATAACAGGCGCACTTAGTCATCTTGTTCATTTAATTAGTTCCTTCAAATTCGATCGCAAGCAATCGAAACAACCACCTTTTCCATAAATGAAAAAAACCGCGAAATTAACTTTCAGCCGCTAAACCATAAGTAGTATAAAATCATTAGATTAGAAAAAGACATCAAGGAAGGTAACATGAACTTTATATCACCGCAGACATCATTTGTAAAGTCTTGCTTTCGAGAAGACTTTTAACACTTACGCCAATTTTATTTTCTTTCTAGAAGATTTCTATTATGAGTACCTTCTTCTTGTTTTTCCTACTTCTCTTGCTTTTGCATCTCGTAAACACGAACTCGGCTTGGAAAGGAATATTGACTGCGAAAATAGCGTGTTTCCCCAGTTTCGCCAACTGCTAAGAAAGTGATTACTAGCGCGAATTTGGAGTAAAATAGAACATAGCTCGATTACTTATTATCTTAGACGATTTTATTCAATTCAATGTTAATTAGAGGTCTGGCGTGTTGTCTGTTTTTGTTATTAAAAGTAAGAAACCATTAAAGCGTGAAGATAAGAAAGTTCACAGTAATCACGTGAAGTGAAATGTGACTAACTTTAAAATATTCATGTGCATATGCATGTATGCCCGTCCTTACTAAAGTGCATTGACGTACATTAAATGTTTAGTGATTGCACGACTTTTTTTAATCAACTGTTTTGCAATCGAAAAATTGCAAATTTTGAATTCTTTGAAAGTGACTCATAGTAAATAATAAGGTAAGAAAGATGGGTTGTTTGTCATTTTTAATCTTTTAACTTTGGTTGCGTTTACATATAACAAAGCCTTGAAAATCTGTTGAAATGGCGTTTGCGATCAGAAGAGAATGTTTAATTGAGTTGGTTCTTTGTTCATACTTGTTTTAGATGTTCGCAAAAATTTTGATTGGCGACTTCTACAGGTAAAAGTGATAAAGAAATGGGAAGTACCAGTGTACATAATGAATAAATTAGATGATTTTGACAATTCTCTATCTATGATAACAGTTTTTCATTTAGTATTATTGAGTTATTCTGTGTGCAGATGCTAAACCGTTGGACGCCCAAAATTGCAATTTCGACCCTCATTACTTATATCGCCTAATTGGAAGAAATCTGCTGCCGAAACTCATCAAACACGTTCAGAAACTTATGGTGATACTGTTCCCTCATATTCCCTCATAATTGTCGGTTTTGCTTTCAACAGTTTAAAAGTGGTGATTTTGATGTCAATGACAAAAAGAACCTGGAGGACCAAAAAAGTTCAAACTCTCGAGGAACTTTCGAACAGTTTAGCAGTCAATAAATAAACAGTTTCTACTCGCTTGCATGTGATGGGAACAACGCAATGCCTCTTTCAAGTGAAAAAATGATCAGAATTTTTACAAACATCTAATAATAAATTGATTTGAATTATCTCTCCCATCTTCCTTCATCCAGATTAAATTGGAAAGAAAGTATTTCAGACATAAACTTACCGGCCCATTGTGACAATCACTTGAGAAAAACAATAGATGCTTTCCTATCCAGGGTTTATTAATCATATCTCGAGCGTTTATTTAATTCATTTTTGTTATTGTTCACCTCTTTCTCTCAATTTATATTTTGCTACTTCGTACTGTTCAGCACATTTTTGTATGATTATACTTAATAACTTTATTCTATATCTTACATAATAAGTAATTGTTGCATATTAACGATCATATAAAAGTCGTTATGTTGAAAAAAAATTTATGAAAATGATTGCCATATTTTTAAAACTTCCTATTAATTTCAATATCTACTTTAAATAAAGATGAAAACAAAGAAACTGAACTAGATCAGATCTCACTATGCACATACATATGCATAAATTAAAGGTGTGTTAACTAATAATTAATTATATAGCGATAATACTACAAAACGGATGCACGCTTTTGTAAAGCTTGAAACCATAAAAGCAAAAAATTCTCTTGCGATTCTGAGGTAGTCTCGATATCTCAATCTTCTCTGTCTCTTTCTGCGTATAAAATTAGTACAATTTATGTTTTAATTCGTATTTCAAGTGCGAAACAATAAAATCGTACTTTTGCTGCCATTCATCGTATGAATTCGCTAGAGATGAAACGATGCTTGAGTCATTTATTCTCTATTAATAAGCGTTTGTAAAAGTATGTGAAATATCTTAATCGGATCCGCCTGTGTGTCTGTACGATGTTTACGATGTCTGCATTTATTTAGCTTTGATTTATTCAACTTGGCGTTATATTTGTATTTCTCGTTAATATTGTCGTTCTTGTAGTGTGTGCGTGTGTGTGGTGGTGTGTGTGGCTCAAGCGAATCGCCCGATTCGTTGCGATGCATTGATTCGCAACTCGCGAGTTTTCGCGAATGGATACCAAAGATAGCTTTGTTAACATCAACAACATTTTGGCTGAACGTGCACTCTGCTGGTGTTGTCCGTATGCCATCTTTTTAAATTTCTGTTTGTGTACGCGAAAATTCCTCACCATGGACGCCAAGGTTGATCCTCCTCTTTAATAGGTCTTTTTGTAACTAACGCCAGTGGCTGTTGATGAGCAGCAGGTGCGTGATGAATTACCGATAGATTATAATCTGTGGCATCGTGCGAATTGGTCGGACTTGGTGGGCCAAAATGCGGGACACTACCCGAAGGAGGTGCATTGTAAACCTTCTCAAAGTTTGTTGAGCTATTTACTGAGGTAGCCGAGCCAGTGGAAGCAGTCCGCGTTGGAATGGGTACTAGTACCGGAGGATGGATTGAATGAGCAATACCCACAGCCAGCTGTGGTGGCGGTCGTCGTTGTTGTTGTTCCTGTTGTTGAGTTACATTTGTCGGCAAAATTAAAGCAATATCGCCATTTGGTAATTTAGTGGGTATAACTTGTAATCCGTTCGGCAAGAAGTATCCATGGGAAGTCTGCTGAAGTTGCGTGCTCATGACGTATTGTTGGTGATGCGGGCGCTTTTTTTGCAAATGTTGTCGATCCTGTTCAGGAGAACTGGGTGGCGACGGTAATATCTGCGCATGTAATTGTTGGACATTAGCGTTAGCTGCTGTTGTACTGGCTGCCGCTTGATGTTGTTGACGATGGATTTCTGTTTTAACGCCATTTATACAGTTTTGCAAATGCTGTAATAAGCGGCGCTTAACACCCGGATCTATTCCAGGGAAACGACTAACTTCGTTGACGCAGTCTGTAAAGCCAGACTTGAACTTATTAATAATTTTAGGATCGATAGCCTGCTGCATGGCAGCTTGTTGTCGTTGCAGCTCTTGCAAATGTTTAACGGTCTTCTCTAATATATCAGCTTTTTCCAATTTCGAATGTCGGGCTGGCTGCAATGAAATCAATGATGCGGATACGCATATATGTTATTCATGACCAAATTTTCCAAAACCACTTCATTTAGGATGAAATATTGATACATAGCGAAGCAATAGAAATCTGCGAAAGTTAAAAACATACTTACGTCCTTTTTTGTGGCATCCAAAAGTAACGTTTTCAATTCATTTAAACAATTATTAATTCGAGCTCGTCGACGCTTTTCCATAATGGGCTTATTTGACTGCAACATAAAAGAAAAAACATGGATTCTTTTTATTGATACATTTTATTATCCGTTTATGCAAATTATGTCTGTAAATTCTTTAAAATAAACACAGCGTAACATTTGTGTTGCTTATGTGTGCGTCTATACATATCTATATCTTTAATCTTGCAAACCATTTGGAAGATGCCACTAAGTATAGAGATATTTAAAAACAGCTTATTGCGATGTGCTGGCTAAATTAAGAAAATCAAAAATATCTACTGCTACCATCATCACCACTACCACCACCAATTTGACCAGGCCACGATATAGTTGATGCATGTGTTTCATGATATAGTTCGCGCGGCTACGGTGTGCGACGGACCCAATGTTGGTGATCGTTGGTGGCACACGCTTACGGCAATCATGCTTTAATTGGAAAGCAAAGCAATTATGGCATTCGGCCAATAAGTAAAACATTGATCGCGTGCGATATTTTTGTAAATTGGACGTTGAGCTAAAAATATGAGGTCTGCGCGAGAATATTTTTTCTTGGGGAATATAGTGTTTTGCGTATTAAACATGGCTAAGATTAGCAACAGTTGGTCATCTTTTCGAACATTTTTTAAGAGTAAAAAATCGTATAGTAAAGACTCGTGTGCATGCTTAACGTTAAACGTTACCTTTGCATAAACATATGAGTGTGGATGCGACAATTTAACAGATATGCAACAATTTATGATGCATTCAATAAAAATACTGATAATTTTAACAGGTGAAAAGCAAAATTGTTTCTTGTTTTCGTCGAGGGCAAACAAGTAATCATTAGGAAAGAAGGTCATGTGCCAAGAATTTGACAATTCATTGCATGTAACCATATAGGGAGATATTGTCGAGTCAAGTGGTTTTAACGTCGCCTCCTTAATATTATATTCATAATTCTTTCGTGTTTGCATGAGAAAATAAGAATTGCACATGTGCGCAACATTTGGCGAATGAAGTCATCCACTCTCTAAATGAGCGTGTTGGTAGTTGTGCCAAAATGGTCCAATTACACAGCCTAAAGTATCAATGCGTTGGTAGCGATTGCGGACGTAAATAAGTGAATGATGTCTACCTGTTTGCCTGAATGAATTGTTAGTTGAAATGAATGAATGGATGAATGTATGAATCAATGAGCCACACGCGCGCTTATGTGTATATAGATATATTTATTTATATATATATATGTATATAAGTATATGCATTGTAGAAGCGCCCCACACATATGTGACGTTAAAACCATATGCGATTGTAACTGATTTCAAGTGCGTTGGCCGCCGTTTGTTTGTCGTTTTTCTTAATTTTGGGACCAACCACGTACAGTATGCCAACCAGAGCACTACACTTTACACCATACATTTTCTACTTTGAAAGGCTCAACAAAATGTAGGCCGTAAGTACTTCAGCTCTTTATTCTGTTTTTGTTTCGTGTAAGCCAAATTCTGATAATACGAGCGTATGCTTGGTAACGGGCTTCAATGACATGGCGTTATGATATTTGTAGCTGTTGTTCTTAACGCATTCAATGAATAACGGGAAATATATACTTACGCGACGATCACTTTTTGCGGGTGTGTCCTTAACAGGATACGGTATTGATGCTCCAATCGCGTTGGCGGTCATTGCTGGTCCACTAACACCGGTAACCATATTCACTTTTTAAAAGTTTTTCTTATTATATTTGCTCTGTCAATGGCGGAAATCACTGTTAATTATTTATATAGTTAAAATTTTTTCAAAATTTAATCCTTTCAAATTTTTGATTTGTTTACATTTTACGTGTTTTTGCACTGGGTTTTGTTTAAATAGCGACCTCACAAAACATGCACGCAATTATTTTTGTTAAATAAAACGCACACATATACCCCGACGGTTTTGCTTCTCTAACGCTTAGGAAACAAATGAGACAAGTGTTTTACGGCACCCTGATAAAACTACTGACAGTCAGCCACTGCGTTTTTTTTATAAATAAGTGTAACATACGTATATATATGTAGAAAGATAAAATAAACCTGAACTAACCGCAACTTCCGCAGTTCTTTATCGGACGGCTTAAAGCAAACGACTGACGATTGATCGACAGGTTCCTCGGCTAAATTGATTCGGCGAGACGTAGCGAAAGCCACACGCCGACATAGCACATAGAAATGTGTATATATACGCATGACTGACTGCTTTTGTTTGTTGATTACCTAAGCAGCAGCAGCAGCAGCAGACGTACTAAGAACACATACACAAAGACGAAAGGTCGTTTGTGATTTTTCGATTTTTCTTGTTTTATTTATTTATATTTTTTTTTTTCTAACAGTTCTTTTGTTTGTGTTTTATTGGGAAGCGAGCGCGTGTTAATTGCTTTAAAACGTGAGAGATTTTGAATAAAAACGATTACTTTCTCTCTCAACATATATCAGTCTAGGAGAGTAAAGTTGCGAGAAAGAGGAAATCAGAGTAACGATTCTCGGAGTACCACGTTCTGTTTAATATGCGTATATGCATAGCATAACACAATGTAAATTTATGATCACATCGTCAAAGATGAGGGTATAAATTTATGTGGGAAATAGATAAAGTAGTGAAGAGAAATAGAAGTAGATAAAATAAGTCGTCGTTCATCCGACTTCTAAGCTTATACCTGTTCGCCGGCTTGTAAATGATTCATAACGAATCGTATATATAACTAGTTATATATAATATATATATATATATATATATATATATATGTATTTATAATTTATTTTATGGTATGCAAGTACTTCGAAATTTGAGGTGTTCTGACAGTAAACGTAAAACAATTAACAAAACCAATAAATTTTCGCCTTAGAATATTTGATATTTTTATGAGCTCAATTTTTAATAGAATAGTTTTCTGTTGATGCGTCCATAGCCGGTAAAGGGTCTTCGTTTCGTATAATTCCTTAGTCTGCTGTTTCTAACTACTGCGTACATATTTGTTTCGCGTTTCTTTTTCTTTTATCTTTGAAAGTACACAAGGTATTAATGAAAATAATTTAAATATCATTGACTTTGTTGTTATTGAAAATAAAATTAATCTTATCCTTAATCCAATCAGTGAAAACAGTCAAATTAAATTTATGTGTCCTATTAGAGAATTTCTTCATTTCATCTGTAATACAATAAAAGATACAGACAGTAGTTAAATTTTGCAAGGCAAAGCAGACTTAATTGCATCACCTGTGGCAAATTTCCTGCGCGCAGCGAATTGCGTTTCCGGTTAACTAAATTGGTCCAGAGAATTTATGTTTAAAAAGAAAGCGTGAACAAATAAGATTATCGCAACTGAAGACATATCGCTCAAAGAATTCAGAGAAAAATATTCCCCAAATGACTTTCCAACTGTATACAACAACGTCACAGTTAAAGACAAAACAAAAAAACATGGTACTTATCAAAGGAAAATTCAATTATGTAACTATAGGTAAAGCAAATAATTTACAACCTATCTCTTTCAGCTTCCGAAATCGACAATCACATGCATATACGAATCTAATAGGAGAATAAATAGTATCCCAGCCACTAGTTCTGAAAACCAAACTTCGGCATGCTTCCGCAACCACTTTCTTTCCGGCTACCAAAAATGCCGATGCAATCCAAGCGAGGGTCTCTTAAGCCACAACTAAATATCCGAAATTGTTAAGTAATTTTTTTAAATTCAAAACAGATCATCCGGTTGTGATCAATATCCTTCCAAGATTTCAAAAAGCTTGGTGTAATTATGCCTGCAAGGGAGACATCTCTAAATGAAGGTCACAAAATTGAGCCGCATGAGCAACATGTTTGTGATCAGCGGGCAAAGGTCTCTTCAATGAAGTCAACACACTTTATTGAAATAAAACGAATAAATTATAAATGCACCATATCTAATGACGACAAACGTTCCAGACATATAGGTAGGTAATCGCTCCAGTCATGCTTAACAGAATTTTAATTTTGTTTGGTAATTTTTATGCTAACCCGCGTAAATTTTTCATTTTATTTCTCGGACACTTTTTGCTTTTCTTAAAGGCGTTTTGAAAACAATTTCCAATCAACCAAAGTCTGAAGTTTCCGCCAAGATAGTGCACGGGCACTGTCTTGTCATCTGCGCTTTTACGTCGGTATGGGTCGATTACGGTGTTACCTTTAGTATCGTTTCACCTTTACATAAAATTCGATTTTGATCAGTTCCGCCATCATTATTGTGCGTTGCAATATGTTTGTATTACTGTGATCAATTTATTTCTTCATATTATTATTTATTTATTCAAACAAACGCAAAAAGAAAACGCATGTACACATTGTTAGAGGTGAACTCCCAAGCCATTGCAAACATGCGAAAGCTTGGCAACCGATGATAGTGAAAAAATGTAGTTTAATTTTTGAATCTCATTAAGATATCGAGATTAAAAGCTAATTTAGATGCGGCTTAGGTAAAGGGTGCGTATTTAGGAGAGTTGATTTGATAGTTTTTAATGAATCCGATATTGACATTAAACTATAGTTACCAGATAGACTTTTGCAAACGACTCTAAAAGGATTAAAAAGATCGTAATTATATCTACATCAATTAACCTTTAAGAAAGTAAAGTTCCTAGAGAAACGATTCGGCAGCTTAAAGCTTATCTCATTAAGTAATAGTACCATGGATAGTACCATGGATTAACTTGATTAAGAAGAAACCACCATGAATAAATCCACGTTTCTCAAGTGACTGTAGGGGTAACAGCAGCAACCTATTTTCATAAGGAGGCGGTTCCCCGCCCAAATTACTAAGGGAAAAGATTAGAAATTACGTTTTATGCTCACGATTTTTAAGTTTTATGAATGTATATACAAGAACCGCATTTTCAAGCTCATTTAAGCGAACATTGCTACAGATTACTAGCAGGCGTTTTTAACATTTCTTTACACATAGTTAGCTGGCATTGATTTTTTTAAAATGTATATACAGTAAGCGTAGGTGTATGTGTAAAACAAATTTTATTTTGAACTTCATATAACGACTTGATTGAAAAAAAAAACTTAGGCACGCAACTGGCTCTTATATATATTTACTTACTTATCAAAAAAAAAAATAAATAAATAAAAAGTCCAATAACATCGTGATACAGTTGGTAGCAAAAAAAGGAAACACCTAACATTTAAATTCATTGCGAGTTCGCTTAATAAATTCAAACATTTGGGTCCGCTGGATATAATACAAACGTTTACTCTTCGCCTTTACATATTTTCATCGGTTTTTTTTTTCTTTTTTTTTTCTATAAACATATACATTAGGTTCTTAGCAGTTATTCGTATTCATAAATTCATAAAACTGTTGTCAAGTAAAAAAAAAAAGAAAAAAAAATGTGTGAAGGTCGTTAGAGCATAAGCTCTACAGTACTGATAATTTTCATAGCTGCTTCCTATATATTAAATTAATTTATATATAAAAATAAGTTTGTACACTTATTTGCATAAGTAGTCTAAAGAAATCGAACGCAATTGATGATTATCATGCAATGAACAATTTCAATTTGCTCCGGTATTAACATTATTATTAAATATGCGTATAAATCTACTAATGTGTGTTTATTGAGAATTGAAACCATAATCTTAGTATAATTAGTAGATAATCTCACAGATTAAAAGTATCGACAACTAAGATTGACAATTCAATTGACTGTGTTGCGGTAACAAAACTGTGCTCATAACGCTTACTACAAATATGTAAATATTATTATATAACATATTAAAAAATACTCAATGATTTGAAGAAATTTTAAAGTGATTTAATGCGAAACTTAAGAAAATGTAAAAACATTTTTCCAATTTCGTTTAAGAGTTTTCTGCACCTTTCATGAATTACCTTAATGATTGCCGTTAGATATTCATCTAATCAAAAACAACTCTACACCACTTCTGGTACAGGTTATATTGAGTTTTTGCGAATGCATAGAACACCTAGAAGAGCTTAAGACCCAGTTTTTATACGATCTAAGCCTCTCTGTTTATCCGTCTGATGTTTGTCCCTATAAATTTGTGTTCAAGCTAAAGGTCGCGTTTTACAGATATTTCGATAAAATTTAGTATACTAACGTGTTTTGACTCAGGCACGAACGCTATTGAATATGCGCATTGGCCTACTTTTTCGACCACTCTCCATACAACGCGCTATTTAAAAAAGTCAAAATTCCTCGACAAAAATGGCTAAATAATAGTATTTTGGCATCTAAATTGGTGTGAGAACCTTGGACCAACTTGGCCAATTTTCTGAATCGTCTCTTATATCACCGTTTCTACGAAAACGGAATCTTTAAATGATAAGAAGATTTAATTTTCAATATTTCATAGGTCAGAAGAGAAAGTTTGTAAAATTTTCGGCAAGATAAATTAAATTTGCTAAGATTGGATCACGACATTTTTGGCGTCTTATTGCGAAGTTGTGTGGGGTATTTGATGATTGCCATTGCCCAACTACAATGTATTGTCAAGAATATTTGTTTGTTGTAAGATAACAAAGAGTTGCTTTAGTTTTACTGAACATATCTAGATGCATTAAAGAAAAACTTTGAAGGCCATTTATAGCGCTTTGTTACTGATGTGAAAGCATGAAACTTACGATACAAAAAACAAATTTTTCGAAGTTTAACAATTATTCGTAGATAAGCAAAACGATCTTTTAACCTTAACCCTTTCAACAGGTACCTAGAGCTGATAAAGTGAACACCCAACGAATAGTTGAGAATAGTGAATTGAAATGAAATCGTCTTTGACATGCTTTTTGATTTTCGTCCAAACTGATTAAGATTGCAAGATTTGGTTGAGGTGGGATTTATTTTATTTATTTATATTACGTGTAGCGAATCCTTCATCTTCTGTGAATTTCGTTTTATTGTTCTGTTAATCACTGACATCAAAGGGCAAAACCACACATAAAAAAAAAAATCGTTGCCTTTTTTACCAAGAATATAGTAAGAAAATCCTTTGTACTTGTTTAGGCGTCTACATCATTTTGCAATGAAGAGCTGCACGTATGTTCGCTTTATTACCCCTTCCGAGTACAATGACATGATAGCGATTTTCATGGCTCTAACTCTTT